AACTTTAAACCTTGTTTGGTTGGAGATACCCGCATAAATTATGACAAAATTTCCTTCCAAGTTAATTTCCCTCTCAGTTGTGTTTGCATAAAGCGTCGATTTGATCATTCTTTTTTCGGCCAGAATATGTTACCGCCTTTTTCACAATTGTTCTCAGCCACCTTTTTACACTTGAAAGGCTGGTAAGGAGACAGCAGCTCTAATTGTGGTTGTAAGAAATACGGATACATCGGATATATACATGACAGACTTGCAAGTACTCATTGCATTGACGATATTTTCTTAGTAGTTAAAAAAATAATTTCCTTTTCCAAACACGGCAGAATAGTTCGGCCACAACTAAGGCCAGCACATGTCTTATCTCTCTTTGAATCTTAAATCCAAGTCTATTTTCCTCTCTCTTTTTTTTCAGGAACAAGACTAAGCGAATCTTAATAAGTTGGCAGCTTGTAATACAAACAGGTTTGGTTGACATAAGAGAAGATTCAGAACGGTCGTTGGCAATCACAGAAACACACATTGACTCTGAGCAGGGCAAGAAACGCTTTTTAAGACAACATTTGAGGAGGTCCTGAATACTACACATGGCAACAAGCGACGGATTTCCCATAGTAATAGTTGCCACATTCATATGTGTTTATTTCCTAATCTTCCTGTCGTCTTTCGTGGGGAACTCATTCGTTCTTTGGCTGTGTTACAAACTAAAACGACAACGAGAGTCTTCTTTGACGTGCTGTATCGCCAACTTGGCAATTGCAGACGTAGCATTTACGGTACTGTCCATTTTTGACTTGGTAACATTCTTATGGACCTGGGTAGGCGGCGAGATATCCTGTAAATTGCAAAGCTTTTCCATTGAAGCATGCTACTCCACCTCCATACTGACTCTTGTTCTTATCAGTTTTGAGCGTCTGAAGGCTGTGGTAGACCCTTTAAGTGTCAGACTCATCACAAAGGAAAACATGCTACGAAAGTTAATAGCTGTTTGGTCAGTTAGCGCAGTCGTCGCTTCGCCTTTGCTTTATGCTTATCAAACCCAAACAGATGACACAGGAACCGTTTCCTGCACGAATAGCATGTTCGGGGATATAGCGCGACAGATCTATTACACTATTCACGCATTTTGTTTTTTCCTTGTACCTCTTGTCTACATGTTAGTTGTTCAGAAGAGAATTTTTCTTTCCTTAAGCTCAAGCGTTGCATCAAATGCATCAAACACCATAGCTTCCATGCGCTATAAGCGGCATTACAAAGTGGCCAAGGTCTTAGCAGCTCTTACAATAGCGTTTGTAACGTGTTGGTCACCTTTCATGGTCACACGCACGATGATGTACTTCCATCTCACTAATGGTGGTTACGTATGGCGAGCGTCTCAGTTATTGATTTTGTTAAATACAGTCTTAGATCCGATATTATACGGAGTCTACGGAGAAGCTATGAGGCGGTATGCTCGAAGTTTATTCAAGAAAACAGGATGGACTCCGTTTCCTCGTGTGGACCCTCTCCGCGACCGACAAGAAACAATGCAAGTAAGGGATTCACAATCCATGGAGGTGTTAGCTGCTTAACCACTTACCCACTTACATTAGTGTGCACATTCTCCAAACTGTTCTCCATTCATCTCCTGAGGTGCCGACAAGGAGAATTTGTTTAACAATTATGAGCTTCTTTAGTTGGTAATCATTTCCTCGGGAGACCTTAAAGTTTAATTCGAATTTGAATTCGCTATTGAAGATCATTGGTTAAAATGGTCATAATCCATGAAATCATGAACCATGCTTTGCTGCCAGATTTCTTGTTCGTTAGTTAGAAGTAAAGAATTATTTTTAAGAACGAGTAGAACGTAACTAAATGAAATAAAAGTCTATAGAATTTTTTCCTTTAGGGAGTTATTTAGGGTTGTGTTTGCTTTTTGTGTGGCGATTTTTTAGTGCTCGGCACTTTGCTCCATTATGAATTTCGTAAATTCAAAGTATGCCTAGTTTAGCAAGGAAAAAAAGAACAACTATAGAATGTGAAAAGTAAATTTGACATGGTGTAACATCACCAAAATAAAGTTTCTGTCGACACTGATGACCTATATTTTTGACATCTTGTGAAGGACATGTTACAATACGAAATTATATTTCCATTCAGCCTCTGTTCGACTGCATACTACATCAAGGCATTTCCAAAAGCGATGGTTGTGAGACTCTGCATAACTACTCTTTCAAGCTAAAGTGACAATTTAAAGTAACCTTTTAGTACCAAGCAGAATGCTTGTCACTCACTTTTATGAAATCTATCTTTTCATGGCTTCTTATATCGTCAGTTGGAACCATGACGCTCTCTCTCATATACTGATAAGTGAGATAGGAGTAATTATTATTATGCATTGACGCGTAACTAATCAGGGGGTGTTTTTCTTTTCAACAGCCTCTTCGGGTAGGCGTCTTCTCGCCCTTCCCCTGCCCCCTGCCCCCACCGTCCACTCTAACTCCAAATCAAACATGGCCGGTCGATTAAACGATCGCGAGCTTATAACGTTAGCTCGCACTTATAAGACGCCTGCATAGCAGGCTTAGTCCTTTTCATGAGGCAGTTTTACATAATTTACGTCCAAAACAGCTTATATCAAGAGTGTCGTTTCAGACCCTATGATGCCGATTAAGCCTTTACACTACACTAATTACTACTACCCCTCATTTCTCCATAACAGCCTCCTTATATCATAGTTTTAGCTATTTCTTCCCATCTCACCGGGGCCAAAACAACTCCTTTTCAGAACGGCCCAATTAGCCCCCAAAATAGTACTGTATTTGAACTGAACTATATACAGAACTACACATAAACTTAGACGGTATTGCCACTCGTGCTTATTTACGAAGGCAAAGTAAGAATTTACTAGAAAGATTTCTGGATGGTAGAGCTTTCACTGGCCCAATTTTTTATTTCTTTAACGCTTTTATCCTCAAGATGTAATTTCTCGAGTCAGATCTCCATTCTGAACGGATTTCATATCGAGAGCGAAGCACGTTGGCTTCTTAATATTCCGATCATTAATTTGACCTTAATTCAAGGATCTTTCTTCGTAATTGTCCATAGTAATTGATCCACAGACTGTTTCGATTTTCATGTGTGACGACGGGTTACGACACATTAAACTTAAGCGGAATTATTACTAAAAAACGCTGCGTCATAAGCCACCCTCTTCAATCGCAGACCCCCTTTAAAATTGTTATAAAAAAAGGAACACTCAGTTAGAACTGAATCGCATCGGCCTTAGTTCACATAAAAGCTGTGGCAGTCTTATCCATTAATCATTAAGCCCGAAATGAAGAACTACCAGGGTTTTTTTTATTATAACAGAGGTATGAAAATATGAAAACCCTTTGCAATTTGACATAGATTTGGTCTGAAACTACAGCCTTATGGAATCATTCTGTTATCAAATGGAATCTTCTTGAGCAATACTTTTACTTCAGTCAGGAAAATACTGTTGAACATTTGTGTATTTCTTAAGGCATTTCGAATGACATCAAAATCAAATTTCTTCTTGAAACTAGAAGATTAATAATTTTTAAGCGGTATTTGGGTCTGCATAGTAGTACACGTGCTTCCAACAATTTGTACGGTGTTTTCAAACATAACATTTAGTAAGCAATGAGATATACGATCTTCGTATACCTTCATGTACCCTAAATATGCAGCTGTCGTTGGAGAAAAAAAAAGGGGATAAACGAAGAAAAATAGACATAAATGCATTAAAAGCCGGGGAAAGAAAATATAAAAACCAAAGAAGTCTTAGCATAACACCGTTGTACTTTGATTAGTTCTGTGACGACTAGAAACTGCCTCTGTCTAGGACAGAGAGGTGTGAATATTCAGCTTTAAACTGTTCGGGATATTGATAAAAAGGATAATTTACCCAAGCCAAAATGGTGATAAGTGACAATATCGCAGCGCCTGCTTCGGTATTGTTTATTGTAATTTACATCTCAGTTTTCATTTTATCAACGGTTGGTAGCACATGGGTTTTGTTAACTTAGTAAAAGATTTTAAGAAGAAGGCATTCCCCTTTTTTGTGGTTGTTGGTGAATTTAGCGAGGGTGGATCTCCTAGTTACTCTTCTTTTCGTATTTAACATGATCGGATAAAGAAAGATATTCCACTCTCTTCGAGCGAACGTAATTCCAATGTGCAACTCGCATATCGTCAACTCAAATCAACGACATAAGGAAGTTGCAAAGACACTTGCAGCTCTTTCTCTTACCTTTTTTCGTGCCAGTCCCCGTTTATGATTCTTAGACTGCTGATGTATTTTAACTCAGTGTCCCCCTGCGGATCTCCTCGTTACTCTTCCTTTTTTATTTAACATGACCGGATATTTGTGGCGCTGGGTAGGTGGAAACAACACTTGTAAGCTTCAAGGATTCTTTGTGGAGGCGAGCTATACGACTTCCATCATGACACTTGTAACTATTAGTTACCAAAGATTAAAAGCTATCACAGACCCATTTAGTACCAGAGCAAGAGGCTGGTTCGACAGGGAATACCTTAAACCAGTAATAATTTGGGGATTAAGCTTACTGGTCTGCACTCCTTTGCTGCAAATCTACGGCGTAAAAACGGTGGACGGCAATTAGCTCGTATAACTACGGGAGATGGGTTCACTGCCCCGCAGATTTACTTCAGTTTGCAGACAACACTATTCTTTGCAGTTCTACTACATCACGCATAATTGCTGTATTCAGATTTGGCACCTCGTATGTAAAGAAAGTATTAAGAATGCTTGTCGTCAGGCTCTGATCGGTTTAAGAGATAGGGCTGGGGAGATTTCCCTCGAAATTAATAGATGATATCCAATTTACATGTCAGCAAAACACATAAAACTTTCCAAATTATCCTGTTGTAACAGTTGCCTTAGCTGTTCTTAGCCACCTTTTCATACCTGAAAGGCTGGTAAGGAGACAAAAACTCTGATTGTGGTGGTAAGAAATACGGATACATCGGATATAAACATGACAGACTTGTAGGTATTCATTGCATCAATGATATTTTCTTAAGAAAAATTTTCCTTTTCCAGACACTGCAGAATAGCTCTTCCACAACTAAGGCCAGCACATGATGTTTTTCTGTATAATTCCTTGTCCTCTTTGAATCTTAAGTTCAAGTCTATTTAGCTTTTCTTGTTTTTTTTTTCTCAAAAACAAAAAGACTAAGCGAATTTTTATAAGCTTACAGATTGTAATACAAACGGGTTTGGTTGAAATAGGAGAAGATTCAGAACGACCGCTGGCAATCATAGAAACACACACTGACAGTGGGTTAGGTAAGAAACGCTTTTTGAACACAACATTTGAAGAGGTCTTAAATACTATACACACAGCAACAAGCGAACGATTTCCCATCGCAATAATTGCCACATTCACATGTGTTTATTTCCTAATCTTCCTGTCGTCTATCGTGGGGAACTCATTTGTTCTTTGGCTGTGTTACAAACTAAAACGACAACGAGAGTCTCCTTTGACGTGTTGCATCGCCAACGTAGCAATTGCAGACGTAGCATTTACGGTAATGTATTTTTGACTTGATAGCATTCTTATGGACCTGGGTCGGCGGCGAAATACCCTGTAAATTACAAAGCTATTCCATTGAAGCATGTTGTTCCACCTCCCTAATGGCTCTTGCTCTTATTAGTTTTGAGCGTCTGAAGGCCATGGTAGACCCTTCAAGTGTCAGACTCGTCACTAGGGAAGACATGCTACCAAAGTTTATAGCCGTTTGGTCAGTTAGCGCAGTCGTCGCTTCGCCTTTGCTTTATGCTTATCAAACCCAAACAGATGACACAGGAACCGTTTCCTGCACGAATATCATGTTCGGGGATTTAGCGCGACAGATTTATCACACAATTCACGCATTTTGTTTTTTCTTTGTACATGATAGTTGTTCAAAAGAGAATTTTCTTTCCTTACGCTCAAGATTTGCATCAAATAACTCAAACATCATAGCTTCCGTACGGTATAAGCGGCATTTCAAAGTGGCCAAGGTCTTGGCAGCTCTTACAAAAGCGTTTCTTATATGTTGGTCGCCTTTCATGGTCGCACGCACGATGATGTACTTCCATCTCACTAATGGCCGTTAGGTATGACGAGCGTCTCAGTTCTTGATTCTGTTAAATACGGTCTTAGATCCATTATTATACGGAGTCTAAGGAGGAGCTATAAGGCAGTATGCTCGAAGTTTATTCAAGAAAAGAGGATGGACTCCGTTTCCTCGTGGGGACCCTCTCCGCGACAGACAAGAAACAATGCAAGTAACGGATTCACAAGCCACTGAACAGGAATAATTTAGTGAGGTGTCGGAATTTTAATTTCTTACCCACTAACATCAGCATGCATATTCTCCAAACTGTTCTCCATTCATCTCCTGAGGTGCTGACGAGGAGAATTTGTTCAACAATCACGAGCTTGTTTAGTCGGAGATCATTTACTTTATTCCTGAGACCTTAAAGTTTGATTCGAAGGTGATATTGAATAAGACATCGGATGCTAGTCACTCTTCAAGATCATAGGGCTAAAATGGTCATGATCCAGGAAATCATGAACCATGCTTTGCTGCCAGATTTCTCGTTCGTTAGTTAGAAGTAAAGAGTTATTTTTAGGAACGAGCAAACGGAACTAAATGAAAGAAAAGTAATTGGAATTTTTCTCCCTTAGGGAGTTATTTAGGGTTGTGTTTGCTTTTTGTGTGACGAAATTTTCTCAAAATTTACACTGGCGGTCGGCCACGAATTTTGGCTCTCCGCTTTGTGCCTCCTTGGATTCGCTATAAGCCGCGTCGGCGTGCCTGAAGCAAGCCTAGATTCCGCTAAAGATAATGTGCCTCAAGTGGTAGCCCTTGCTGGAGCTCGAATTGACCCAAGTTTGTAATGCTTTTACTTTCAAAAATAGTAAGTAAAGAAAAGTTACAAATATTTATTTATGCATGGATGAATATTCGAGTGTTAAAAGTTAATGAAAGTTGATTTTATTCCTTTTTCAGTAACAAGAAAATGACAGGTGCACCACTCTATCTAGCAGCCAAGATATGTAAATATAAAAACTGGCATAAAACACATTTGTAATTTTTCTTAAAGAGTTGATGTCAACTTTTCAATGGTATTTAACAGATTTTATTTTAATCTAAAATGAACTTTTGTGGATCAAAGTAACGCTTTTTACATCAGTCAGAAAAATGTTGTTGAACATTTGTGTATTTCTCGAGGCATTTGGAATGACATAAAAAGCAAAATTTCTTCTGGAAACTAGAATGTTAATAATTTATTAGCGGTGTTTGGGTTTGCATAGTATTAAACTGGCTTCCAACAAAACCTACCATCTCTACTATTACAATTTGTATGGTGTTTTCAAAATAACACTTATTTCGATTTTTCGGTTCGATTTCTTTGTCCCACGCTCGTGACAAGACGAAAACATCTTTCTCTAACATCTAGTATGCTATGATATATTCTTACGCTCTTCATATAGTCCTATTGTACCCTAAATATGCAACTGCGATGGAGAACTTAAAAAAAGTGGTAAAAATGATGGTAAGTGACAATATCGCCGCGCCTGCTTCGGTATTATTTATCATAATTTACATCTCAGTTTTCATTTTGTCAACGGTTGGTAACACATGGGTTTTGTTAACTTGCTACAAGACTTTTAGAAGAAGGCATTCCCCTTTTCCTTGGTTATTGGTGAATTTAGCGACAGAAGATCTCCTATTTCGGATATTTGTGGCGCTGGGTATGTGGAAACAACATTTGTAAGCTTCAAGAATTCTTTGTCGAGAAGAGCTATACGACTTCCCTCATGACACTTGTAACTATTAACTACCAAAGATTAAAAGCTACCACAGATCCATTTAGTACCAGAGCAAGAGGCTGGTTCAACAGGGAATACCTTAAACCAGTAATAATTTTGGGATTAAGCTTACTGGTCTGCACTCCTTTGCGGCAAAACTACGACGTAAAAACGGTGGACGGCAACGTTGCTTGTATAACTACGAGAGATGGGTTCATTGTCCCGGAGATTTACTTCAGTTTGCATACAACACTATTATTTGCGGTTTTACTACATTAAGCATATCTATTGTATTCAGATTTGGCACCTCGTATGTAAAGAAAGGATTAAGAATGCTTATCGTAAGGCTCTGATCGTTTTAAGTGATAGGGCTGGGGAGATTTCCCTCGAAATTAATTGATGACATCCAATTTACATGTCAGAAAAACACAAAAACTTTCTATACTCTCTTGTTGTATCAGCTGCCTTACCGTAGAAATATGTATACATCGGATAGATACATGACAGACTTTTAGGTATCGATTGCATTGATCGTAATTTTATGGTGGTAAAATAAAATTCCTTTTCCAGACGCGGATTATTTCTGCCACACTTAAGGCAAGCACATACTGTTTTTCTGTATAATTCCTTATCCTATTTGAATTTAAAATCCAAGTCTATTTTCCTCTTTTTTTTTTTTAGGAACAAAAAGACAGAGCGAATTTTAATAAGTTGACAGCTTGTAATGCAAACAGGTTTGGTTGAAATAAGAGAAGATTCAGAACGGTCGTTGGCAATCACAGAAACACACATTCTGAGCAAGGCAAGAAACGATTTAACACAACATTTGAAGAGGTCCTGAATACCACACATGGCAACGAGCGACGGATTTCCCATAGAACTAGTTGCCACATTCACATGTGTTTATTTCGTAATCTTCATGTTGTCTATCGTGGGGAACTCATTTGTTCTTTGGCTCTGTTACAAACTAAAACGACAACGGGAGTCTTCTTTGACGTGTTGTATCGCCAACTTGGCAATTGCAGACGTAGCATTTACGGCGCTATCCATTTTTGACTCGATAGTATTCTTGTGGACCTGGTTAGGAGGCGAGATAACTTGTAAACTACAAAGCTTTTTCATTGAAGTATGTTACTCCACCTCCATAATGACTCTTGTTCTTATCAGTTTTGAGCGTCTGAAGGCTGTGGTAAACCCTTTAAGTGTCAGACTCATCAAAAGGAAAGACACGCTACGAAAGTTAAGCGCCGTTTGGTCAATTAGCGTAGCCGTCAATTCGCCTTTGCTTTATGCTTATCAAACCCAAACAGATGACACAGGAACCGTTTCCTGCACGAATATCATGTTCGGGGATTTAGCGCGACAGATCTACTATACTATTCACGCATTTTGTTTTTTCTTTGTACCTCTTGTCTACATGATAGTTGTTCAGAAGAGAATTTTTCTATCCTTACGCTCAAGCGTTGCTTCAAATATGTCAAATACCACAGCTTCTGTACACTATAAGCGGCATTACAAAGTGGCCAGGGTCTTGGCAGCACTTACAATAGCGTTTGTAATATGTTGGTCACCTTTTATGGTCACACGCACGATGATGTACTTCCATCTCACTAATGGCGGTTATGTATGGCGAGTGTCTCAATTATTGATTTTTTTAAATACGGTCTTAGATCCAATATTATACGGAGTCTACGGGGAAGCTATGAGGCAGTATGCTCGAAGTTTATTCAAGAAAACAGGAAGGGCCCCGTTTCCTCGTGTGGACCCTCTCCGCGACAGACAAGAAAGCTTGGAAGTAACGGATTCACAAGCCATTGAACTTTCTTTTATGGAGTAAAATGAACCGAATAACCTAGTTGGCTGTTTAATCCCTTACTCACTAACATCAGTGTGCATATTCTCCAAAATGTTCTCCATTCATCTCCTGGGGTGCTGACAAGGAGAATTTGTTCAACAATCATGAGCTTCTTTGGTTGGTGATCATTTCCTTTACTCCCAAGACCTTGAAGCTTGATTCGAAGGTGATATTGAATGAGATATCGAATGCAAGTCACTCTTAAAGATCATAGGGATAAAATGGTCATAATCCAGGAAATCATGAACCATGCTTTGCTGCCAGATTTCTCGTTCGTTAGTTTGAAATAAAGAGTTATTTTTAAGAACGAGCAGAACGCCACTAAATGGAATTTTTTTTCCCTTAAGGAGTTAATTAGGGTTGTGTTTGTTATTTGTGTGACAATTTTCACTCTTAAGCACTTTGTTACATTATGAATTTCGTAAATTCGAAGTATGCCTAGTTTTGCTGGGAAAAAAAAAAGAATAATTACAGCATGTGAAAACTTAATTTGACATGGTGTAACATCACCAAAATAAAGTTTCTGTCGACACTGATGACGTATAATTTTGACATCTTGTGAAGGACATGTTAAAATACGAAATTATATCTAGAGTCAGCCTGTGTTCGACTGCATGCATGCAGCGGGGGATTCCGCAAGCGATGGTTTCGATACTCCGCATAATTACTCTTTCAAGCTAAAATGACACCTAAAAGTAATTTTTTAGTTCCAAGCAGAATGCGTGTCACAAACTTTTATGAAATCTATCTTTTCAAGGCTTCTTATATCGTCAGTTGGAACCACAACGCGCTCTCTCATTGACCGATAGGCGTGATAGGAGTATTTATTATTCAACTGCACAAAGTAGAGTATAATAACAAGCAAATAGAGTACAGATATCTTACGATATTGTACGGTTATTTGGATAGTTGGTTAGTTATCTTGTACTGTAAAAAAACCGTGTTTAACCAGTCGGCTGCGTGCACTACGTTCCTCTAATCGCTTTGTTTTTCTCGCCTTATGAGAAATAAGTAGAGAGAATTAGCAGAAAAAGAAGCATTTGGATAACAAATAACCCTTAAGTATTTTGACTCACTCTACGGGTTCGTCAAAATACGGCAAAATACTGAGTGATACTTCAAACCAAAACGTCTAATAATATATATATTATCCTGCTATCAGGGTTATAGCTTGTAAGGTTCGCACGAATCTTTCTGAAATAGTTTATGAGAGTAATAGAAAAAAATTTCCGTGGTTTGCATGGCCTCATCTACACAATCAAGGTAATTTTGGTTTTATCAACTGAGTTGATAACGTAAATTGGCCACCGTAAGGAGTTTTAAAGCTGACGTTTCGAGCGTTAGCCCTCAGTCAGAGCGATGATGAAGGGTTAACGCTCGAAACTTCAATATTGATTATAATGTGAATGTTTGACTGCTGGGGATTTCCTTTCGGAAGCTCTGAACTAACACGGCTTATTTCCCAAAAAACAAAACGTTAGCTTGTTGAACAGAGCAGAAAAATTAATTAAT